CCCTTGTTTTGCCAATACCCGCACCTACCCCAAATATACGTGATATCAGGTTAAACGCCCCATCCCCCGACACTACACTTTAGCTTGATAGTATTTTTTGATTGATCTGTAAAGTTACAAAAAATACAAGAGACAAAGTGATTCGATTAATGTAATTTAAATCAAACCGATTCTTATTTGTAAGCGTGAGGCGTAGCAGTTTTAATATATATTTCAGTTTTGTATACCTGTGTGTATTTGATTAATATTTAAGTCGCAGAAAACCAAATTATGTTACTAATTATTTAATTATAAAATTAATTAATAATTGTATCTATGACTAAAAATGGAATCAATTACAATGGTATAAAAAAGATGTAAAACGAAAAAATAGATTTTGTATAAGGATTTAGAAATCGCATTGGATTGTGAAATAATAATTATAAATAAATTAACATATATAAATTAATTGATTAAAATAAAAGTTTGCTTGGGCGGATTACTTACAAGATACTGGAAAAAGGTAAGATATTAAAAGCAAACGCGAATCTGTATTGTACATTTTTTATTTACCATTTTGCTTGACATTTTGTTTCTGTTTATTACTAATTCACAATTCTTTGCTTGAAATACATAATAATTTTAATAATATGTTATATTATGCATTTACGCACACACAAACATACTTACGCAAGTAAGTTAATGAATTCTGTGTTGTCCTTTTGTTGGTAATATAATAGTTTAGCTTTTGCTATGCTTTTAAAATGCATAACATCCATTAGCGTTTACACTTTCATGGGTTTTCTAACAATATATTATGTTCGATTTTCTCTTCATACTTTTTATGTTTTTTGCGGTTTATTGAAATCTTGTTTCGTTACTTTGTTTTTAATTGCCTAGCAAAACTTCGACTCATTATAGTTTTTAATGATGAAGCATTGTTTTACGATTAAATGCGCAGAAATACTTTTGAAGTAAACAATTTGTTTGTCTGTTTTTTATTTGTTCAAATTTCACAACATTGAAATTTTATTTCTTCATCAACACATGCAGTTTTTTAAAGTTTTATTTTTGGTGTGCTTTGTTAATAACATTTTGATTTCTTTTGTTTGTATACTCGCTTTTGCTAATACTGAATTCTGTTGAGCCTTTCGCGTTCCACCTGTTGAGCCAACTCCTTCCTAAGAACTCATTTGAGCGATTTAATTGAACTTTTATGTCGGTGTATAAAAGTTTTATCCAATCATTTGGGTGTCTTAAAGCTTTTCCATTTCCTCGTTTGTTCAATCAACAATTTCAATTCTAATTCTCAACTTGGGTACAGAGAGCTGAGCTACATTTTTAGGGGTATGGGGAATGTATATATTTGGAATACATATTTTGTAGACATATGCATGTGTGTTGACATTGGGTTTCGTAATCGTTCACTTCTAATTTACTAAAAATCTACAAAATATAATATTTGAATTTTTCCTCTGCTAAATATATTCTGAATATACATACTTTATAATGATTGTTTAACATTTATACACTTTTCTTTATGCAAGTTTTAATTTCTTACTTTGCTTGTATGTGTGGTTCTTGATGAGGTCAACTTTGATTTGCTTTATTTGAAACTTTTGGTTTTCGTCTATTTGAATATCTTTACTTTAAGAATGATCTTGTCTAATTGTTGATATGTGTTTACTGCTTTATGTTGTGGCTAATATGAAATCTTGCGTTTTTGATTTATATTTTTACAATTTCAAAAAGGTTTAACAGTGTCCTTTCATGTGTTATTTAGGTTTTATTATTTTTTTTTTAGATTTTTGTTGTTTTAATAATATTCAGTCTATATAAACATTCATTTATACATTTATGCTAAATTTTGGAAAACAAATAGGGGAAAATGTGCGAAACTGACACAAAAACGATGCACATTTTGCAGTTCCTCAACCAAAACTGGTAAAATTTCTCTAAAAAGAAATTGGGCTCAAATAATGTGGAAATTAGAGTACCTGAATACCTGTGGATGATCTGTTTCGTATGGGAGAAAGTATTCAATTCATGTAAATCTATCAAAAATTAATGGTTGTTTTTTACTTTACCTTGTATATTCAATAGTGTAAGTATAGTTAGGGTATGCTATTTGCTTTGCATCGTTTCCGTATATTTATTTAAATATTTTGTTATAATTGCTTTGTTTTGCTTTAGCTTGCTAACACATTCCTCTTGACGAGTTTTATTCAATGCATTTGGGTTTTAGTTGTATCTTTCACTGCTGTTTCTGAATTCCTATTCATGCTGGCTATACCTTTTTACGTGATCTGACATTTCCTTCAACAGATTCCTGAATTTTTGCTATGCATTTGAATATAGATATAAATCGATCAACATAAACGAAATCAACTATTTACATATAGGTTTCCGTTTGGTTATAAATCTAATCACTGTTTTCAGTTTGTGGTATTTAGCTGTTCAAGTCACATATTTGCAGAAACCAACAAAAGCAAAACATCAGAGTTTCTGTAGGGTTCAAGAGTTTCGGTACTTGTTTTGTTTTTGAGTCGAAAGTAAAACATTTTGCAATATACTTTCCAACATCGTATGCTAAAATATTTATTTATGATATTGTTATTCGTAATATATTACGTCGTGCCTTGTAGAATAATGTTTATTAGAGTGTTCTTAGCAGCGATTGAGCTTGCTGGGAAAAATATTCATATAAAGAAACGTATTTTATGTTATCAATTCACTAATTACTAAGCAAACCAATGCCAAGCATATCCTAAAATTAATGTTGTTTGCTCTACTTCATTTGCGGCGCCATTTGGCTCCATTAAAAAATTTCCAATTTAAATTGCCCTGTCCAGGGGCCCGAAAAGATCCTAACCATCTCAACTAAATCAATTTGTTAATTGTCTTTCTCTACTGCTCTCGGATGTTGATGCTTGAGATGGCTTCACACCTGCACCGATATATATAATTTCTGTGGATAAATGGATAAATTAGCTATGTAAAAAAGTTCCTAACTTAAATCATTGTAGGCAGTATGTCAGTTAATTCTCTTCTCCAGCTTTTGTTCGTTTTCAATTTGGGCCGAAAGTAACTGTAGATAGTATGTGGATTTTTCTGAACACAATTGCGTTATTAAGACGATAATTAGATAACTGAGCTCCAAATGAAATACTGTGAGTTGTTTTTTTAAATACAAATATCGTGTTCAACTTAGTCCATTAAAACCTTTTAAACCTTTGGAACGACTTGTCGATGGGATTACTCAATGGTAATCCATCACTTAAAGGAACATCTCTAATACTCTAGAGTCTAGACCTTTGCGTGCTATATGGTACGCATGCTATTCGGCACACTGAAAAGCGTCTACACATTTAAAAAAAATTTGGCAAAGCTTTTACAAAATTACGAAACTACGGTTACAAACTACTTTGCCAAAAACACAATACCAAGTGCAATACTGTTTTGAGCCCGATCAATCGATTTGATCCGATTTGATCTGACTGGCAGGTATTCGAAAACTAGACGTCTCGAAAGCAATTCTAAAAACTAACCACTGTGCCACTGCGCAACTCATGCTCATTCCAAGTGGCGCTCCTCCTCGCAGATGGCGCTCCGCGTCGCCTCGCACTGGGCACAGTGCTTCTCCAGAAACTTCATGGACAAGTGGAACGTATACCGGTGCCGGGTGCAACGCCTTTACATCTTGTACTCGACAATCTTGTTGGGATTGAGGAACTGCTCCCGTTGCGACGCCTCCAAGTGGGCTACGGTGCGCGTCAAAGCCGAGCCCGATCCCGATCCAGATCCAGAACCCGCTCCAGCCGTTGATCCCGAGGAGGATTTGTGCTTGCCATCTCCAGCTCCTCCTCCTCCTCCACTGGTGCGTCCTGTGTCCGTGCCAATCGGCTGATACACTCCCTCGGCACTGATCACGCCCACATTGACCCCGGCGACCACCGGCTGCTGCAGATATCCGGAATACTGCGGCGGCAGCTGGTAACTGCCCGGCGGCTGCTGCTGCTGCTGTTGGTGGCTGCCCGCCCGCGGCTGCTCCGTGTGGGCAATGGGATACTGCTGCTGATGGGCGTAGTCCTGGCTGCTGGCCAAAGCGCCAGCGGCAGCCACCGAGCCACCAGCTGCTACTCCGCCCCCTCCGGACGATCCTCCTCCTCCGCCGCCTCCTCCTCCCCCTCCTCCACCGCCGCCCATGCGGGATCCGGAGTCATCGTTGAGACCCTCACCCATTTCCCCATCGCGATTGTGCCGCCCGCGGATGCACAGCTTGGTGAAGAGCCACACTCGTCCGCGGTAAAGGAGGTAGCAGCAGAAGTGAACAAAGAAGGTAAAGATTATGGCACAGGCCGTCACAATGATCGCCTTGCCCGGCTTGGTCCAGTCCATCATCGGGTAGATGGCAGTTTGGTTTTTCCTGTGGGTAACGATAGTAAGTAAACTGTATTTCCCGGAGACTGAGACTCCTCACCTGTCTGTGCCGCCGGCCAAGAAGTAGATGCCCGTGAATATGGCATAGGCCAGGCCAATGCCAGTGGTAAAGTAGGCGTGGCTCATCTTTATCGGGTGACCCACAATGGCCAGATCGATGAGCATTATAATCGTGTTGAGCACATGGACCATTATGTTTAGCGCATCGATCTTGTGGATTTCTGAAAGGTCAAGGGCGTTGATTAAATTAATCTTTTATTTTTACGTCAAGTTAACTTTGTTTTTTTACTATTTCCATAGGGTGAGTATTATTATTAAAGAAATAAAAAACACCATCAATTATTTAGGTGGAAGAATTTGGCTTACGAAACCCAGTAACACGAATAAAAATACTTGTTCTAAAGAATTCGCGGTGATTTACCAATGAGGAATACTCTATCAATTTTTTAATTTTTACTACAATACTTTAGTTATTATAAAATAAAATACATAACTACTTCAACAAATTTCCAAAATAATCTATATATTCTATATAATGTTATAGGGCAGGCTTTTGCAGAGCTCTCCAGTTTGAAAGTTCCCTACTTCGAGTCCTTCATCATCTCCCATTGACTCTTAATGGACCTGGCTAAGAACTTTTGGTTGGACCTTTGGCCCACGTAGAGGAACTCGAATCCAATGTCGTCGGCGGAGTCCAGACAGATGTAGCAGGCGAGAAAGTCGAGCAGCAGCATCGTGGAGCAGAGTGGCCTGTCCAGAATGGGCGGCCAGTTGTCCCAATAGCCGGAGATCACCTGTGCCTGGAACACAATCAGCGGACACATGACTTGCCAGAGCACAAAGTGAACGGCTACTTCGTAGGCATAAAGCCAGTTCCGGAGGTGAACCGTAACTCCGACCATCAGGACGCTCGAGAAGATGACGAATATGAACCAGGTGAGCAGGAGGTACATCAGTGCGGGGCAATTGGGTAGAATCCAGGAGCCCACCACCAGCAGTAAAGCCATCATGATGAGGATCTCGATGCTCAGCAGCAGGACGTGCAGGGTCAACTGATCGGGTAGGATCGAAACCGTTCCCAAGGCCAAGCATCCCGCAATCGAGCAGCTAATCAGCCAGTTCAAGGGAAACTTCCAGCGCAGCCAAGTTACAATGACATAAATGCAGAGGATGGACAATCCAATGCCGAAGAAGCAGTAGGTGGCCAGGTCATCGGGAACCAGGGGATATCCTCGCAACAGGCCCGGGATAATGAGCAGCAGAATGGCCAGCAGAATGAAGACCAAAGCGATGCCGTAGATCCACAGGAAAACCCGGAGACGTAGATGGCGCCTGAGGCCATCATCTGGCTGATCACTCATCGAGTGGGGAAAGTGTTCTCCTATTTTCCGGCTCCGCCTTTTCCGGTTGTATCAAGTGTCAAAGGTGAGAGCTCGGCCTGACAGCCAGTATGTTAAGTGTAACCAGATCGGCATCAGCCCCGAATTTCAGCGTTCGTTCCCTTGAATCCCTGTGCTCGAAGAACCGATACGAGGCGGACTCCCGTCTTTATGAGGAGGAGGAGTATGTGGAGCAGGGCACCTCCATACCCAAGCTGCAGCCGCGGCGGCAACCCTCGGCCTGCCTCTTCCGCACCTACGTCTGCCTGCTGCTGGGCATCCAGGTGACGCTCTCCTCGCTGCAGTGGCTAGGCTCCACCTACCGGTGGCGCCCCCAACTAAGTCCGGCTAACCGCAGCCTGTCCGTTCTGCTGTTCCTGCTGTCCTGGTTGAATCTCACATTGGCCTTCATCGGTTTCCGGCGGCTGCAGTTCACCTTTCCCTTGAACTGGATCATCTTCGGCTGCATCTTCGAGAGCCTCACGCTGCTGGTGGTGTGCTTGCACATCCTCGAATTGGACATCACCTGGCCATTTGTCCTGATCGGGATTGGTGTGCTGGTCGTGTACACGCTGCTGGGTCTCTGGGTGCCGGGCTTCCTCACCGCCAACCTCTGGATCCTCATCCTGGCCAGCATTGTGGTGTTTGTGGTATCCACCGTGGCCCTGTGCGTCCGCCTACAGATGTGCTACTACGTCCCGGCCAGTGTGTGTCTGGTCTTCTTCGGTCCCTGGGCCATGTTCAATTCGCAGAAGCTCTTCCTGCCCCACCAGCGGACCGGCTATCTGCCACATCAGTACTTGGAGGCGGCCGCCAAGATGTTTATCAACTACGCCTTCACCGTCAGCGGCCTTGTCTTCGCCCACCGCTTTTCGGTGGACGCTCTGGATGCCCAATGATGATGTTAGTTGGGTTCAGGTGGGATCTGGTTTAAGGGGCTACCGAACTGGTGCTGATCTTATTTATATTTCGATTTTTTGTAAGTCTTTAATTAAATTGTCACGTGTTTTTATTTTAAATTCTTAATTATTTGATTTTTAAACTAATTTATAAAAAAAAGAGCAAACATCGGATTATAATAATATTTATTTAATATTATTAATGAATTTTAATATTTAGCCACATTTATAACTTGTAAGAAATACACACAAATAATTTGTGATTATGCAATACGCATATCGTTTTAACATGAAATACTCATTTAGCATATCGAATTTACGGGGCCGCATATTAATTGATATTGCATAATGTAAAATCGATCTATGTTTCATATCGATTTTTTTTGGGTGCAGGGGTAAATATTAAACCGACTTCTAGGAATATCTCTAAAAATATTTAAGAAAAAGGGATAAAACTTACCCGGATTGTGGACCAGGAGCCAATAGCACATGGTTACGATGAAGGCATAGACAGTGGCACAGGTGTAGAGCACCCAGTACAGGTGGTGCAGGCGGCTTTTCTTCGCCTGGCGCACGATCTCAAAGTCCTCCCGCTCCACCATCATGCCCTGGGTGACTATCCAGGCGGCCAGCCAGGCCTGAACGGTGCAGAAGAGCAGGCCCCAGTGGGTCAGGTAGATCCACCACTTGGCGTAGTGGTGCTCGAAGTGCTCGTCCGTGCGCCCGATGTCCAGCAAGGAGCAGACCAGGGCCGCCAGGCAGGTGATGGCCGTTATCCAGCGGTAGAACAGGTACACGATGCGCACCTGAGTGTTCCGCTGCCACTGTTGGGGGAAAAGTTAATTAGGATAGGTATTTAGATAAGCAATTGAAAAGTTAAAATATTTACTAAAGATAAATCAAACCGATACACTCAGAAAAAAATAAGAATGGGTTCGTATCAAGAATTTCTTCTCTACTTTTAATTCCTTATTAAAGAACGAATTGAATAAAGCATTTGGTATGGTAACTTGTTAAATATTCAGAAATAAAGGGGGTAAAAGTAATTAGGATAGGTACATATTTAGATAATCAATTGAAAAGTTAAAATATTTACTAAAGAGAAATTAAATTGATACATTCAGAAAAAAATAAGAATTTCTTCTTATCAACTTTCAATTCTTGATTAAAGCATTTTATATGGTAACTTGTAAAATATTCAGAACTATGCAATATATACGAATTTTAAATTTGTGAACCCAAGAAATCAAAAATTTATATTAAACTATAAATTATCTTGGTAAAACATTACCAAGATAGCTATTTAAAAAAATAAAAAATTTGCAAAAGAAAAACAAAATTAGTAAGTAAAGTAGGAAAACTAAAAACGGGTGTATATATTTCTTGGCTTTTAATTCTTTATTTCAGAAAATCTCTTTTTTTAAGCATTTAAAGATGAACAATTTAATAATTGAGTATGAAATATATTCCCATTTATAAGGATGTAAAATTGCATAAATTCAATCAATCAAAAATTAACATTCTACCAATATGTTTTGAGATGTAAATTAGTTATGGCAAAAGCATTATAATTTCCCTTCCGTAAAGCCCATCAATCGATGGAATACTTCCCAGCTCAGCACTCACCTGGCACAGGTAGAAGTTGTGCCGATGCACATGGTCCGGGGTGAACTCCGGGAAGCAGCTATTCCACAATTTGCTAACCATCATTCTCTGATTGCCCAGGCAGCTGCCGGCGTTGGTGGCGAATTGGTTGAAGCCCTCGCAGCTGTCCTGCGAAGGATACTGGTAGGAGTGATAGGACTGCTGCTGCAGTTGCTGCTGCGTCGGCTGGAATTGCTGGTGTTGCTGCTGCTGCTGGAAGTGCGACTGATGCTGCTGCAGCCGCTGTTGCTGCTGTTGGTGTTGCTGCTGATGCTGCTGCTGCTGTTGCTGCTGCTGCTGTTGTTGGTATTGGTAGGGCTGGTATCGCTGGTCCTCCAGGACACGCTGCGACTGACCACCGCCACCCAGATCGGAGCCCCCTCTTCCCACTGCCGATCCCGCTGATCCTGCTCCTCCCGCTGCGGCTGAGCCGTGCTCCGTTTGGTACTCGTGTTGCGGCGGCGTCTTGTGGCTGTGCAGGCTGTCCCGGCCGCTGCCGCCGTAGGGATGCAGAAAGTCCGGCAGGTCAAGGATGTGCGCCAGCTGCGTGGCCACCTCCTCGTCTTCCTCGACGTCCTCGTCCTCCTCCTCCTGCAGGTGGAAGAAGCGCAGTTCCTCGAGACTCGAGCAGTCCGTGGAGAGCAGGGCCTGCGGCAGGCACTCCTCGAGCAGGTCCTCCTCGTCCTCAGTGGTGCTGGCGAAGCCCGGCAGATAGCCGTAGTTGTCGTAGGCGTCGTACCGCCTGCGGGGCGTGGCCTTGTAGCCGCGATAGCCGCCAGCTTGCAGCTCCTCCGCTGCACTTCCGTACTCCCGGAACGGCGAGGTGGAGACCGCAGACGATGCCGCCGCGACTGCTGCAACGGCCGCCGGAGTGGGCGGTACGGGCGGTGGTAGAGCGGTTCTAGTGCTGCGGCTGCTGAAATAATAATCGGTGGCTACACTCGGCGCCGGCGGTGGTGGCGGTAGGGCCGCTGGAACGGCCAAGGGCGGCAAATAGCCGGGCGAAGTTCCCGCTGAGGCTAGCAGCGGCGTTGGCGAGGCATCGAAGTTGATCAGCGCCGCCGCCGGATAACCGCCTCCGGAATAGCCGCCCACGCTCCGGTACGGATACGCTGGGTAGGGAGCGCTGTTCGCGGTGCCGCTGCTGCTGGTCGTTCCTATGTAGATGTGCGCCGAGGTGGACGGCAGATGGTACCAGCTGTAGTGGTGTATGGTAGGGAAATTAAACAGTTTTTAACATTTTTGATTTATATCAAGGTAAAATAGATCACTTTAAAAGAAGTTTTTACACCTAATTGAGCTTTTAGATGGTGTAAAATAGGGAAGTTAAACAGTTTTTAACATTTTTTAGGTAAAATTAGAGTAAGGTAAAATTTAAGTTAAAATATATCATTTTAAAAGAAGTTTTTACACTTAATTGAGCTTTTGGATGGTGTAATATAGGGAAATTAAACATTAAATATTTTTTTATTTATATTAATATAAATAGATAGATTTAAAAGAAGTTTTTACACTTAGTTGATTACTTAGATTAAGAAATCGTTCACAAATCAAATTTAACTTGCGTAACTTCAGGTAACTCTCCGCATCACAAAATACATTTTTTTGATAAATTATAAAACTTTAAACTTTAACATAATATTACATTTTTTAAAACATCTAAAAATCATATTCTTTTAATTTTTGATCAAATTACTTTACGAAATAAAATATGTCCAGTGTTTTTGTTCTGCTGACATTGAACTGGGTATTATAAATGACTGAAGACGTGGGCTGAGATGTAGAAACATAAGTGAATTCGTAGCTTTTAAATAAGATATATTAGCGTGATCTTAGGTGACCAAAACAAACTTAATACCTTTTTAATAACTGTAATAAAATGCCAAGAGTCGTAGGTGTTACAGGGCTATGATATTATATTTCATATTTATGCAGTTTTAGGGTTACGAGGGGTTAAGTGGGTGTGCTATATACCTGGCTAGGTTGCCGCTGCCCAGACCGAAGCCCAGGCCCAGTCCCAGACCCAGATCGGTGTTGGTGCTGCCGCGACTGAAGTAGTAGCTATATTGTTGCTGTTGCTGCTGCTGCTGTTGGTGGTGTTGCTGTTGCTGGTGCTGCAGTTGCTGGTGCTGCAGCTGCAACTGCTGGGCCGCAAAGAGCTGCTGCTGCTGGGCAATCTGCTGCTGCTGCTGATGGGGGGCTGCGTAGCCGGTGAGCCAACGTTGCCGCAGGCACGAGTAACTCTCCTGCAACTCGCGCTCGAGTCGCTGCAGCAGCAATTGTTGCTGCAGCTGCTGGATCTGCAGTTGCTGCTGCTGCTGGGCTAGCAATTGCTGCTGCACGAGTTGCTGGTGCTGTTGCTGCTGCTGTTGTTGCTGCTGTTGGCCACTAATTGGCACCGCTCTAAAGTAAAACTGCGCGTAATCCAATGTGATGGCGTTCCTCTACAGCTCTGAATCGCGTCTACCACATTCACGCTTGGCTATTCGCTGCTTTTGATGTTGTCTTTGTGTCCTTTGTGGCTTTTGCTCCTGTTGCAGTTGCAAGTGGCAAGACGTCTGAGCCTGTAAGTGGAGCAAGGCATAGAGGCAATGAGTTAAGTCGACTGCTTTTCACATGCGAGTGCATAATGTACTAATTAGACGGGCGTTAAGCATACGCCGCGTATGACAAGATAAGGCGGGTAGTATGGAGTTTTAGTTTTAAAATAGAAAAATGTTACCTTAATAGTATTTTATTTCCATAAATGTTTCCTACAAAAAATATTCCTAGCTCATAGATTTATACAAATTAAAACATTATTTAAAAAACCTATTTTTCTAAAATAAAATTTAAAAAAACAGAGAATTAATATGTTTTAAAAAAATATATATAAATAAATCCAAATTTAAACATTTGATTGCTAAAATATACATATACAATTTTGGGCCCCTGAAATAAAAACCTCACTACGGTCCTGGCCCAGATTGCGAAAGATAAAGGCGGAGGAAAACGCTCCACTGAACGCACTCGTTGGTGGCTCTGTAACCGTTTCTTTGAAATCCTAATTTGCTCCTCCACAGACGTTTCCAGCTTTCGAGGAACAGGAGGAGCTGGAGCTTGAAAATACTGAAAAGCAAGCCTGTAAGCCACAAAGGAAATTTCAATGGAAATATGTTCATTACAAATTCGCTGCACTTTGCATAAAATCTTAAGCTTGATGCATGTACAAATATATACTATTATTCTCCAAAAGTTGAACTCTGATGAACTTATTTTTGAGATCTATAACGAGTTCATGAATGCGCTCCTATTCTCCAATTTTTCCATAATTCAGTAGCCTTAATAATTAAATATTACTTAAAAGAATATCTATATTTTTAATAGGGTTGACTTTTTGTTTTGAGATTTTTTAAACATATATTCAAATTTCAATTATATTTGCAAAAGTTTTTTTTTTATCAATTTTCTTCCAAATCTCTTCAAGTCCCCTGGGG